CAATCATAACTAGAATCGGAATTTTGTTACCTTCCGCAGACATCGTGTAGCCTATTGGTCCGAGCGTCATAGTAGGTGAACAATTACGGTGGTCCCAAGTTCAAACCTTATTGAGTGGTATATCTTTTTCCAATTTTAATTTGTTAAACATGTAATTATTTTGTGTTTATTTCATAAAATGTGGAAAATAAACAAATTATTGAAAATGTGGTGTTCATAAAAGGTTAAATTTCGTTTAAGGGTGAATAATTACATATTTTAATAAAAAAAATTAAAACAATATACAAAATAAGAAACAAAAATTTGAAATTATGAAAAGTTTGTTTATTATAAGATCAGATTCTGATAGATTGTTCTCCAACTGTTGCATTCTACGTTCAAAAAAACAATAATATTCTTTTGTAATTATTTATAAAAAAAAAACTTCTTTGGCGTTGAGCGCATATATCACTGAAATGATTAAATATTTAGTAACGTCATAAGTATATGTCATATTTTAAAAATTTGACATATACTTATGACGTTACTTCCGCCAGAAAAAGCGTTACTTCCGTCAGAAAAAATCTGAGTTACTCCCTAGTCGCGCCTAAAGACCGGCGCCATCTGTGTTCTGCCCAAAAGAACTAGTGAGCAAATGCTAGGGCGGCAATTTCAAACTAGTAATTTTAAAGGTACTTGGCGTTGCATTTTATGCACAAGTACAATGCGTTTGTAACACACAATATACTTGTGCATAAATTGCTATATTTATTCACCTTTAGAGAGCAGTAAAAAACGAATGAATTGGTACTTCACCTTTTTTATTTAGCATGATAATAAATACAATATATGAGATATTCATTTATGCAACATATATTATAACAGACATAAATTTACACGAATTCATACATGAGTTGTATTCATTTCCAGAAATTTGGTACAAAAATCACAAGTAAGTGGGTGTAATGATAATGACGTCAGCAAATTTTAAACACGAATAAAAATAATATTTTTAAAATACAATATAAATTCCACATGGATTAGATTTAAAAATTAATATGTAATTTTAGATAGATTTAATCTTGTAAATATTACATCAATAAAGAATATAAATGACATTATGCAGAAATTGAAAATTGAAATTACAGAAAGTTATTCAGTTTAAGTATTTCAGATATCTTCACTCAAAATAAAAAATACAGTTTATCTTTCATAGTGTAAGCTTGTAGTCAAAAAGATTGTTCTGTAATCACTCGGCGCTCGCACGCAACATTATATATATATATATATATATATATATATATATATATATATATATATATATATATATATATATATATATATATATTTGTGGGCGAGGTAGGTCGCTGGTGTCGTCAGGTGGCAAATCAGAAAGCAGAAATTCGGTGAGCGCGTATACATCCGCGAGGAGAGTGACATATGAGCGTCCCCGTATGATGTCTAAGTGCAACTGACTAGGCTCGCGTCAACGGTCAAATTCAACGGCTGTGCAACAAAGTACAGCTACCTTCCACTTATTTTTAAAATATAATAAACCCTAAGCGCGCGAAATACAAATCACCGTCCTCGTATGTATACGCCATTTTATTAATTTAAATTCAAGAACAAATACATAAAGGTGACAAAAGGTAAGTAGTTAACTTAAAAGTAAGTAATTATATATGACAATAGTAATTTTGATGCTAAATAAAATCAAATGTTTACACAAACTAATTATAATTATTTTATATTCCAGGTGAAGCAGCGTGGCCGTCATCAACATCCTCCCCCCCCCAGTGTCGGTTTGTCGACACGAATCAATAACGCGGAGTAAGGCCACGTGTGCAGCTGATCGCTTTATCACTCCTGACCTAGTTCTAACATCTACTACTCTAACCCTGCCGTCCGAGCCTGGGTAAACCCTTTCAACAATACCTATTGGCCAGTAATTACGAAACAATGACGGATCTACCACAACAACGAGATCTCCTACCTTAATTTGTTGACCTTCCCTATTCCATTTTCGGCGAAGAATGAGCTCGGGCAAGAATTTTCTGACCCATCTGCTCCTAAATAAATCCGTTAGCCGTTGAGCTATGCGCCATTGACGTCTGAGGTATAAGTCACCATCATCGAAAACTCCAGGTCGAGGTAAATTCGATGACGATCCTAACAAAAAATGATTCGGAGTTAACGCTTCTTGACTCCGAGGGTCCACCGAAACATGTGTGAGGGGGCGGCTATTAATTATGTTCTCCACTTCAGTAAGGAGTGTGGCTAAAACTTCCTCTTGTGGGGATCTTTCTTTAAGTATTACTTTTAGAGTTGCTTTCACACTTCTGATAAGGCGCTCCCATGCTCCACCCATATGAGGGCTTGCTGGAGGTATAAATTGCCAAGTTACTCCTCTGTTCAACGCCTCAGCAATAACCAGCTGCTGATCGATCTCATCAAAAGATTTTTGGAGCTCAGAATCCGCTCCACGCATGTTGGTTCCATTATCTGACAAAACTGTGTGAGGCCAACCCCGGCGCGCAGCCATCCTCCTTAGCGCCATTATAAGAGAGTCAGCTGTTAACGTAGATACTATTTCAATATGTATGGCTCGTATGGTTAGACACGTAAAAAGCACACCATATCTTTTGGGTCTCTGCCGGCCCACCGTGACATTCATAGGTCCAAACAAATCTACTCCACAAATTGTGAAAGGTCTTTGATGATGTACCAATCTTTCAGCAGGTAAGTCACCTAGGCGGGGTGGTTTCGGCCTTGCTTTTCTTATTCGACAAATGAGGCACTGAGATGCTACGGAACGAACAGTAGGCCTTAAATTCACAAGCCAGTATTTTTGGCGCAACTCGTTTATTACAAGTTCGTTATAGGAATGCGCAGCGCGTACATGATAGTCTTTTACTATTAGCCTGGCTATGCGTAGCCGACCATCCAAAATCACGGGGCATTTCATACTTTCATTAACATATTTTACAGCATTTATCCGACCACCGACTCGTAACAGCCCGTCGCTGTCTAAAAACGGAGGTAACAAACGTCAGCGGCTATCCCTATTTATTTCTTTTTTCTGTTTCAACAAATCGATTTCAGTCTGAAATGATTGTGACTGAGAGTATCGCAGCAAAAGAACTTCGGCCTTTTTCATTAACGATTCATTAATGCACCGAGTATTACTCCGTCTACATTTTTCTATAAACAATAGCACAGCAGCGGTGCTGCGAACTAACCGAAGCCACACCGAGAAGTGGTCTGGATCAGGGACAGGTAACTTACAAATATATATATTATCCTTTGACGGCATTGTTATTGTAAATATTTTTTCTAAAATTTCCTTATTAATTTTTTCTTCTTTTTCAGGTTCTCGTGGCCAGTATGTTTCCGCTTTAGACAGAAAAGACGGACCCGTAAACCAAGATAAGTCCTTTTGGAAATCGTAAGTATTATTTTTTGTAGCTAAGTCGGCTATGTTTAAATTAAGTAGTCGGCACGTAATGCCATTCATTAATTTTACTTAATTCATCGATTTCACCTAGCCTGTTAGAAATAAAAACTTTATATTTTCTATACTCATTTCTAATCCAATGCAGAACAATCATAGAATCCGTCCAATAAAATACTGATGAAGGTTTAATTCGATGTTCCTTTTTGTATAGTCTCTGCTAACCTACAAGCTAATAACGCACCTTGAAGCTCCAGTTTAGGGAAGGTTATCGGTTTAAGCGGCGCGACACGATTTTTACTCGCTATAAAAGATACTTGTACCTTGTCTCCGTGTTGTTTACGCCAGTAGGCAACAGATGCGTAAGCGCACGAAGATGCGTCGCAGAAAACCATGTAATTGTAACGTTGTCTCACTTTTGCTTACAGCCGGCGTATCATTTTGCTCGGTCCCGCCTGCAACGTCGTGTTGAAAATACCAGCGTTGAATACGAACACTAGAGATTGTTTTCAACTGCGCTATCCATTTTTTAAATAACAAAAATAAATCATCAGTAATTTCTTGATCCCATTTCATCCCTATTTTCCATATATCACGTAATAAAATTTTTGATTTTATCATAAAAGGTCCTAAAAAGCCATGTATATCATAAATAGACATTACGATACGAAGAACTTCACGTTTGGTTGGTTTTCGTATTAGGTTTAACACATCACTTGGTATGCGGTTCAATGACAGATCGAATCCAAAAGAGTCCTCAGCAGGAAACCATAAGAGCCCTAGTGTACGCTCGCATTGAGACTCGATATTAAATCTTATTGCCATATCGCTTAAAGTCTCTTTTGGCATATTGTTAAGGACTTCCGATTTGTTACTTAACCAATTACGCATTACGAACCCACCCTGGAGGTTAATATAAGAAACTTCTCTTATCATTTTTGAGGCGGTGGCGATGTCCGGTAAACTGTCAATGAAATCGTCCATATACTGATTTTTTCGTATAGCATTAACTGCATCAGACATTACTGTTTCGAACCGCAAAGTATTTTTATTTTGATTTATGTATTGCGCAATAAATGGTGAACAATTTGCACCAAAAATTAACGAAGTCATAACATACTTTTTAATTGGATAAACAATATGCGAGGAAGACATTTTGGGATCACTGGTAAAATTAGATTGATTTTCGTCTAATAAGTAAATATCTTTCCATAAAAAACGTAAAGAATTAATATCCTGCTCTCGTATTTTTATTCTCAAAAACATGTCTTGTATATCACCAATAATACCGACAGGGTTTTCTCTAAATCTTAACATTATTCCTAACAATGACTGCAACAAATCAGGTCCTTGCAGAAGAAAATCATTTAATGAATATCCTTCAGACTTCGCTGCCGCATCATAACCAAACGCAACTTCTTTTTGTTTGGGTTATCAACACCAAAGTGCGGCAAATACCATACATGTTCATTATGGAACTCATCACTATCTAGTAGCTCCCTAGCGTATCCATTTGAAAATAAATATTTCATCCTCTCACGATATCGTGACGCGTACTCCTTATTGTTCAACATTTTTCTTTCGATTGACCTTAATCGGTAAAAGGCGTTAGGATAGGAATCAGGCATTTTAAAATTATCGTTCCACGGCAAACCGACATACCACTGACCATTAATTAATTCCGCAGTATTATCTAAAATGTTAATAGCTCTTATATCATCGGGATTACGCCGCGGCTTCGAACCTACACCAATAGACTCTAACGCAAATGACCTACGCACCGCATCGTGCAACTGCGCACAGGTACGGTCACCACTAGTGTTCTCGAGACAAGGACGGCAAGATATTGTTTCTACCGTGTGTAAATGAAACACCGACTGCGTAGATCCTACGTAATCATTATCAGTGCAATCAGGAGAAAAAGAGACAAAGCGATCAGTGCAAGTAGTATCACTTACCATGTTTCCGTGTATACACCATCCGAGCGCCGTTTGTGTTATGTACGGCTCACGCCGCTTACCTCGGAAGTAGCGGACAGGAGTAATTAAATGATGATTATCTTGACCAATTAACAATTTTGGCTGCGTATTACAATTGCAAAACTTAAAATCTACACTTAGCTGTCCGTAAGCACTTAAATCTATGTTTGGCACCTTTTGCACGGGCAAATTTAATTCATTTATTTTACGCGCACGGAAACTAAACTTTTCGTTATAGCAATTAGAGACACTAACACTTATTACTTGTGACTCACACACTAGCTCGCCTGAGTCCCATGCACTGCGAGCGCGCATAATAACGTTCTCGCCCTGCAATCCTAGCTCGTCTGCGATGTCAGCTGATATCAAGGTCACGGTCGCTCCATCGTCCAGTATGGCATGCGTATGCAAACTTCCGTTGGGCCCGTGAAGAGTGAGCGGCACCGCTTTCAAAAGCACCTTGTGACAGTGGGATGCCACCATATGAGTCACTGTTTCAGGGTTGGGATACTCATCCTCCTCTTCATTCTCAGTTTCGGGTTTTTCATTTTGTGGCTTACTCCAGTGCAGCAAACGATGATGGGGTTGATTACAGCCCTCTATCTCACAAATAGTGCCACGGCAAGCTGCTAAATTCGTATGTCGCGGTTCAAGGCACTTGTAACACAGTTTATTTGTGCGTGCGAATCGCCACCGGTCTTTGCGTAGGGCGCGTTATCTTAGTGGCTTCTTCATATAAAAATGTACTCAATAATTCCAATTTCGGTAGATTACTCTCTCGGCGTTCATAAATATAATCCGTCCACTTCGTGACAAGTAAAGTTGGAAACTTTGAGACCACAATAGACACCAATTCTGGGCTACGAAGATAATCGTTCTGCTGTATAGCTTTTGCAGCTGTCACATAATTTTTTATTTTAATTGAAAAATTTAATATTTCATTGTGGTAAGATAATGGTAACGGGTATAACTTTTTTAGCTGTAGAACTATTTTACTCATGATAGTTTCAGGTTTGCCAAATCGAAGTTCCAAAGTGTCAATTATCAAATCAGGTGACGTTTGACCAATCAAAAGGGATGTCACTGCTTCTTTGGCTTCGCCACGAAGACACTTGCGTAATCGCCATACATTTTCTGTATCACTGTATTTACACAACTTTGTAGATTCTATGTATGCCTGTTTAAAATGTAACCACTCCATTGGATCGCCAAAAAATGAAGGTAAGTCTTTAGAGGTTGCTAGCCTGGTTAAAAGCTCTTGGTTCTGCGCTTTATATGATGAGGTGGTCACTGCATCACGTAGGGCATTTGCCAGCTTTTCAATGCTGGATCTGTCACGACAGCAATCTTCTTGATGCTCCACTTGCTGGCCCACTGTATTATCGAGCCAGTCTTCTACTTTGCTGTTAGTAGATTGAGAAGCAGACTTACTGGAACGGTGTGATGTAGACTCTAACTCTGCCATCTCGGCTGCTAGCTTTTTGTTGAGCAGCTCGGACTTAATATTTGCCTTAATCTTCGCGCAGCATTAATCTTGGCTTCCGCTTCAGCTTCAGCTAGTTCCATATCAACAGCGGCCTTAGCTTTAGCAGCCTCCAACTCCAACTGCCGTTTACGTGCGGTTGACGACGTACATGAGGTTTTCAGACACTTTTTGCTTATGCTACAAGCACTTGGGTCTTTTACAGTCCTTTCAGGCTCATCATCCTTCAAACTACATGAAGGAAAAACATCCTGCTCGTTCCTTTTACACTCCGATCTCGTAACGCCGCCACGTGTTCGCTTCTTCTTGCGTGGCGTAATAGGCGTATGAAACATTTCTTTTACCGGTTTGCTTGTCGACGACGTGATGATTCGGCCGAAGGACCACGATGTGGGCGAGGTAGTTCGGTGGTGTCGTCAGGTGGCAAATCAGAAAGCAGAAATTCGGTGAGCGCGTATACATCCGCGAGGAGAGTGACATATGAGCGTCCCCGTATGATGTCTAAGTGCAACTGACTAGGCTCGCGTCAACGGTCAAATTCAACGGCTGTGCAACAAAGTACAGCTACCTTCCACTTATTTTTAAAATATAATAAACCCTAAGCGCGCGAAATACAAATTCACCGTCCTCGTATGTATACGCCATTTTATTAATTTAAATTCAAGAACAAATACATAAAGGTGACAAAAGGTAAGTAGTTAACTTAAAGGTAAGTAATTATATATGACAATAGTAATTTTGATGCTAAATAAAATCAAATGTTTACACAAACTAATTATAATTATTTTATATTCCAGGTGAAGCAGCGTGGCCGTCATCAACAATATTGTTTTGATGGCTTTTATTTATGCATAATTCATTTTTCTTTGTAGTGCAGATTTACACGGGTCTTCAGAATACATTCTGTTTTTTTAATATGCAGTGTTTCTTAATGCTAATATGGAAGACACTGTTTATTATGTAACTTATTATATTTAAGTCTTTGTGCAAAATGCAATGTTCAAGGAAGTCATAATTTATAGAGGTCTTTAACATCTCTCTCTAAGAATATATTTATTATATTTGCACTTTTTTCTACACAATCTAATAAATTCTTTGAGGCGATGCAAGAGATTTTTTTACAGACCTGTAAAAAATCTCTTACGTGCATTATTACATTCACGTCTGTGGCTGGCGTCAGAAATGTTTTAAAATTAGTAATTATGGCACTGTTGCTCACAAACTTTAACTGTTTTAATGTTACAAGTAAAATTTTGAAAAAGCTTCATTTTTTAAAAGATTTACAATTTTTTGTAATCAATATTCCTTGTTCATACTCCTTTTCAGTTTCTTTATCAATAATTTGCTTTCACAAAAGCCACTTATTGGTTTGAGGAGTCACGCACAAACATTTATGAACTTGTTGGAGTGATGATATTGGCATTATGTTCTCTTAAAGGGTAAATTCTGGATGGACAGGCAACTGGTTCAAACACTGCAGATTATTCAGGCAGATTAGTCTTGTATCCTAAAAGAAAATAAGAACAACTTTAGCACATCGTTGTTAATATAAAAAGTCAACTAGTACTCACAGTACAGTTTTGGCATGAAAAAGAATTAATTGTTTTTAAAAGTTTTACTTTTTCTTACTAATATTTTGCATGCCAAAGTGAGTTTTTTTCACACGACAGCCTAAAAAATAGAGTGTTATGTTTTAGCGTCCATGTATGTATATGAATTTATTTATTCCATGATAAGTTTCAAATGCCTAAAGAGATGTGGATTTATGGGATATCATACATAGACAAAAGTAACAAAGGGTATAAATTTAAAATAATTGTATAGTGCCCCTTATTTACAACATAATGTCAGTATTTCTCTGTAATAAAGGTGTTTTAAATAAATTTTTAAGTGTTTATTGTACCAACCTTATGGGATTGAAAATCAGGTTCAGCTGATCTGTATAACTTCTTCTCAAAATATTTCTCTTCAATTTCTCTTCAAATAAGAGAATATGTTTTGAAAACAATGCTCCATTAGAATGTAAGATCAAGATTAACATAATTATATTTTTTTGCTGTTAGAAAGTGTATAGATTGTGCTAAAAAATTTTTTGAAAAACCTATTTTTACTGGATACAGCGCCTTAATTTTCAACTTTTTTATTTTTTTAACTTTTTCTTTACCTTTGCTGTAAGAACTTTCTTTTAACCAAAATTGACAACTATAGGTCAACCGGAACCCTATAAGTTTTGGGTCGAAAAGCTATATGGTAGTTTCCGTTGAGTTAAAGAAAAAGTCAGAATATCCTTTTTTAGTATACCGAAAACAGTGATAATAAAATATAAACGTGCTACAAATAAAACAAGAAAAGACTAAACAATTAAAATGTTATATATTCATGTAGCATCCCAAACGCGACCTATAACTTACTATGCTATAATTCTCACTTTCGTATACTTTATGAGGATGCCTTATACGATAATATCAATTTATTAACAACTAGCTGTGCCCGGCAACTTTCGCGTGGAATTTAAAATAAAAAAATATTTCTAAAATAAAAGTAGCCTAAGTTACTGCTTATTACCTCGGCTATCTGTTAGAAGTCCCGTCCAAATCGATCCAGTCGTTTTAGAGATTACCCGGAACAAACAGACAGACAGACAGACAAAAATTGTGAAAAATGTTATTTTGGTATATGTACCGTGTATACATCCATAAGCATTTAGTAAAAAGCGGTTATTTTAATATTACAAACAGACACTCCAATTTATTTGTATAGATATGGAACACCAAAATATATAGCTTGCTTATTTTCCTTTCTCCATTTCTGACATATGTATGACGTCAACATTTATTATACAACTAACTGCCTATACAAGAAGAATAAATGTAAAAGATATTGTATACCGAATATGTACAATAGAAAATGTGCCTTTCTTAACGTTCCGGTAACTGTGACAGTAGACAACGGAACGTTAAAAAAGGCAGAGTATAGAAATAATAACAAATAATAATCAGAAATGAAGTAAGAAACTAATAAAATCTTTTAACATCGACTTTAGAAAGAAGTTTTTGACGAAATTATATCAAAAAGAAAGAAAAAAGCATTTTTCGCTAATGTTTTGTGAGAACACAAACAATGTTGTCAATTAAAGATTACTTACGAACATTTTAACATTAAATAATTGAAAAACTAATAAGGTGTGTTATCCACCCGTGCTCTTACTAAGTGATCGCGGGCTCAGAGTGCTCGCATAGCATGCGAGCAAGCTGAGCATTATCCTGCATATGAATGAAGCCGTCATCATTGTATGCGGCAAATTGCACAACTTCTTCTACTAAAATATGCCTGATGTACAGCAGTCATATTCCCGCCATCGACCATCAATATCTCCGTACGGGCTCTGAAACTTATCTCTCCCTACACCATAACTAAGCTATCCCCATATGCTACCATATTTTCAAAATTATTCAAAATTCTTTACGTCTCCATATTCTCATCAGTGAAAAATATCCGCCTCTATTGGTTTATGTTCCAATAAACGCACGACTTCAAGCTCAATACGAGGCCTGCACAGCAGTTACACGCGTATTTCTGAGAACTCTTCAAAGTTGTAGAAATCGCCGCACCTCCTCACAAGAGAAGCAGTTAACAAGTACCCTCGAACACTGTCATGAAAAGTAATTGCTGCATTCTAGTGGGAATAGATCTGTAGGTATGAACATTTCTTCGCCTTTCATCTGCAGCTTCGCAATAATCTCCTGGTGGTGCTAAGTCGAGCATTTTTAATTTATTTCAACTAAGTGCCTACTATTGAAGCGAAAAATCACTTTTAATGAAAAAATTGAGAATAAGTCGAATTTATAAGCCGGGAAACAGAAACATATCGGATCATTTTGAGATATGATACGATATCATTATACTCTCTGTCACTACCACGAATACGAATGATACCAATCTAATGATTCCTCACGTGTCAAAATCCTGTAGGCCGCAAAGCGTGCCAAATAATTAGGCATACATACGCTTGAAAAATATTCCAAGCCTTCGGCTCTTCGGTAAAAATGTCAATAATAGATTAATTTACTTACCTGAAGATATAACGTTTAATTCATAACACGTCCTCAGGATACAGTCTAGAGCTAGTGCGAGGACTACAAAATGCATCTTTTTTTTTTCTTGTGCTGTAGTCCAAATGTATATATAATTTGATTATTGGAAATATGCAACTGCTTTTTATAATTACCTTATTTTAGAAAATTCAAACAGGGAGTTTTTTTGCACAGTTCTTTAACCATATTTTTATGTATTCTTTATGAGGAAATGCCGAGTTAAAGAATAAAGGGCAAATCGGCAAAAGTCACGGCAGCCATTTGAAATAAACGGTTTTCTTATGTGACCGTATAACCAAAAGAATAAGTGAAAAAGCTTCTTTAGTAAAAAGAATATGCTTTTTCTAATACTTTAAGGATTTCTTTAAGTGTGCATGAAACGCGTAATAACACCCTTTGAAATACACAAGAGAATCGTTTAAATTATGGGTGAGAGGAGCCCTTTATTCCCTTACGTTAATATTTTCGCAGCTCAAGTGATAAAATTTCTTACTTACAAAAAACAGTCCATAATACAATACGTTCATATCGTACATAATATAATACAAATACGTTCTACCAAAATAGACTTCTAGTTTGTAATATTTAACTGATATTAAAATAATTGATAACTCTTTAAACATCTTGACTTGCAATATTAGTATCACTACGAAAATAAATTTAAGTATAAGTTACTTTTATATAACAAGCAAACATCACTATAGTATTTTTTCAACATCATTATAGTATTTTTTATAAGGTTATGATAATAGTGAACTTTGTATATTAGTTATCACTTAACATCAGGTGAACTGTCAACTCGCTTGCCACCTTCTCACGTTATAAAAATATTTTGTACAATTAAATAAAATTGACCTAATAGTTAAAAATACGAAGAAATGATATTCATAAGCATTCATCTTTCGAAATCAGGATGAAATCAATAATCACCGTTTTTATAAAAATCATTGATCTCCACACACGTTTACTAAATTCTTACAATAATTTGATTAAACAAAAAACTAAAGATTTAAAAATATTATCTAGATTATTAAAATCATCATTATATGACTTATGATAAAAGATCTGATTGATTTCTATGGAAAAAAAGGATATACGTGCATTTTAGTTTATATATAGTTTATATATCATTTTAGATGCAGATAAATATGAAAAAAAAACACCAGGTACCACGTGAAACAAGAATAGGCCACATTTTATTCACATTGTTTTCTATTAAGCATGCTCCCGCTTGGCACTGTGCCAAGGTGTAACATGTTGCAATTGCCAATGCTCAGTAAACGGCGACGCGGTCCCAAGCAATAGATACATAGGAATAAAAATGTATTGTTTAGTTTATTGCCCAAGTCGCTTAAATGTTAACTTTTCACTGATTCATATAGTCTA